GAACTGGGAATGTGGGATTCTTTGCACCTTTGCCCTAAGCTTTGAACATGAGCTACAATTCCAAGAGAGGGAGATAAACAAACCTCACTCAACATCCTGCTACATATGAAAAAAATATGGGAGAAAGGACACAGAGGGCATCCAATGTCTACAGTTCCAGCTCGTTTCCTATGAGAAGGAGAAGTCAACGTCCTCCCAATGCTCCAGACAGCACTGTGGCCTGCACGTGGGGGCCAGCTGCAGGGCCTTGTCTGGCCTCGGAGGCGCAGGGAGGTGCTTGGGCCCAGGGAGGCCCAGGGTGCTCTCCTCGGCTGCCTCACCTCCCGCCCCCTCTCAGACCCTTGCCTGCCCCCAGCTTTGTACCAGCCTTAACTGTGCCAGAATGTCCCCTCCTTTGGAAGGTGGCAGCTCTACAGAGCAGAGCAGGTGGAACAGCCCTTGTCTGGGGGGATGTGCCCCTGCGGTGCAAGGCTGGAGTTCACAACACATTTTCCTAGAAAAACACGATGCCAAAATTGTGGGTGACATGATAGTATGAAGGGATGCAACAACCAGGACATACTGAGCACGTTCCAAGTGCCAAGCTCCTGCACTGAAGTGCTTGCCCTGAATAAGGAAGAAATCCTGATTTTACAGAGGAGTCTCAGAAGAGTCCAGTAACTGTCCCTGGAACACAGACAGATCTAGCTCCGAAAGTATGATCTGTGGGGTGAACCCCTACTGGCCCTCCTCATTTCTGGGCCCCAGAAGAGCTGGCTCAGCACAGCTGTGTTAGCACACACGCCACTGTTCACACAGAGGTCTCCACTCCCTGACAGCCGGGTCCACAGCAGCAGAAATATGACCTTGCCCAGCGGTGCTTGGTGCAGGGTAGGTTCTCAACAAAAGTGCAATGACACATACGGCTTTTCTTTAACTGTGTCCTGTTCAAGAACACACAGCACCCTTTCTTGCTTTAGGTATTTGCATATGGAATTCTCTCCACCACAATGCCCTCCTCCTCCACCTGGCTCCCTCCTCCTGGTTTCAAGAATGTCACCTCTTCCAGGAAGTCTCCCACCATCTCCACCTCCCCCAGAGTGGTTCAGGTGCCCGCCTCTCGGGGCTCCCGCCAAGCTGGCACACCCACCGTGGAAGCCCTGGCCGTACTGCCAGGGGGGTACTGCTAGGACCAGAGCAGGACTGTGACCACCAGAGCACTCAGCACAGTACTGGGAACCTGCCAGGACCAACAACCACACGAAGGGATCCCCTTCTGCAGATGGGTGGTGGGAGTAGACGTGGATGCACCAGGTGGGAGTGGAAAAGAAACTGGATTCGGAGGGCAGAGAGATAGTGTAAATTCAGGAGAGAGGGTCAACCACTCGCTGCAAGGCAGTCATGGGGTCCACTAGGGCGTCTGCAGCCTCTTCTCTCACCAACACTGTCCTCCAAGGTCTGGTCTTGGGCTCGGCAATGTGAACACACCCCAACGACAGAGTTCATTGCTAGTGAAGACGCGACCATGTTTGTCACACACCGGAGTGCCAGCAGTGGGAATCTGCATGGGCTTGATCTGACCTGTTTCTGAAGCTTTTCCCTGTGGAGGCTTAACTGAAATTGTCAGAACATGAAATCAATAGGGTCTTGGCAAAGGGCTTCTATAATTGAATATATTACTTCCCAATTTCTCGTCCTTTTCCCCTTTCGTGTCAAATGAAGGGCCTGCTTTTCATTACTGAGCCTTTCAGAACAGAAAATGATTGTTGGATGATATATGCTCTTTGGTCATCTAGTGCACATTTGAACTCCATGCTCCTGAAATCGATCTCGATAATTTCCAATAACAATGTTTGATACCTTCTCCCTCTCTTAACAGCTTCCTCATTTTGAAAGTTCCTCCTTAACTGTTCTGGTGGATGGAGGAACAGAAGGGGGAAATCAGAAGGCCTTAAATAGATTTTACAGGCACCAAAGCATGCATTTGGAGTACCGTCAGCTAGAAAGATCTTGTTTCAATAATATGATCTTCGCGTTCAGCTGAAGACTGTGTTATGGAACCTGACTGCCCTTGGTGACTGCTTAAAGCTGACATAAGGCAGAAAAATGGACATTTAATATGGGAAAGAAATTAGTCCTCAAGATCTTTGTTTCCTGAATCTCTGCAGCAGCTCAGCTGGGGCTGGGCCCATGCAGCAGCTGCGGGAGCTTTCCTGGGAAAGGCGCTGGGTACGGCGTGCAGAAAGCCCACCCCACAGGGGACTTGGGGTGAATCAAGTGAAGGGGGCTGGCAAGGAAGACCCTAACACCCACTGCAATTTGGGGCTCCTGAGGGCTCTGAGTTTCCAGGTCCACTAATGGCACCCTGTGTTCCCAGCGTGGAGCCCTGGGTCCCCTTCTCCTCCCCATGGTTCCCCCTCTCAACTTGCCCCAAATCCCACTGACTGCCTCTCTGGCCTCTGCTGCCACCCCGGTTTGGGCTACAGCCTCCCTCTTCCAGCCTTAGTTACTGTGGCCTTCGAACGGGTCGCCCCGTCAGCACCGACAGTGGAGAGACCTTCCTGTGACACCCCAGTGATGAGGCCACTGCCCCCGCAGGGAAGGTGGAAGGTCCACAGCCCACGCGGGAGCACAGACAGCCACCCGGGCTCACCAGCCTCTCCGGCGCATGCCAAGGGCTGCCGTCTGGCTTGATGCTCAGGTTGAAAGTGCCAGGCACTCGCTGACGTCCCCAGCCTTCCCTGGGAGGCTGGTCCCACTCCCCGCCTGGGGACGATGGGGTGTGGCTTGCTCTGCCATTTATAATTCAGACTCTCCAGGCTCCAGTCTCACAGCCGGGCCAGCCCCAACCCACAGAACAGGCAGCCCGGGCCCCACACCCTCTCCCTGCACTCCCCCTGCCCAGTGTTCCTGCCTCCCATCCCGCCCACGCCGAGAGCTCCTTGGGGACAGAGACTGTGTCTTCGCCACCCTCACGCCCAGAGCTCACACAGCAAGTCACTGCGGAGCTGCGTTTTTCAAACAAGGACCTAGTGAGTGGAAATAAAAACGTTTACAGGTCTCTTTTTCCTTAATAGTTCATTTAAATATATATATGAAGCTTCAGCTAAGCATTTTTGTTTATCTCACTGTCACTAAGGGGCTTATATTTTTGGCTAAGACTTTAGGAACTCTAAAACCTGCACACGTTTCAGAACTTCGGGACAACTCATGAGCTTCTGTGCTCGTGGTAGGGAGGGGATTCGAGATACTTGGAGTGAAGCAATTACCAGGGATTAAGCAGCAACAACTGAACAAGGCTGTCTTAGCTGCCTGAGGTTCTGTCGAGCGCGGAGCAAGGACAGGAGTCTGAGCAGGTCACCCAGGACTGCCCTGTGGGATTCTGGGTCAGTGAGTGGCCCTGGGCCGTGGCCAAGCCACTAAGCTGGAAGGCTGGAGTCCACAGTGCCCTCAGAGCGGAGCCCTCGACAGGGGCAGGTTTGACTTTCTTCTCTGCACTAATGCTGTGTCCCAAGGCCACATGTCACCCGTGCGCTTGGTCCTAACTGCCTTGTCCCAGATGGGGGCCACTGCCCCAGCTTAGCTTCTGGTTGCAAAAGTTTCCCCACCCTACCGCAGTGCTGGAGGCGGGAGGCTGGCCACCGTGAGCTTTCGCAGAACCGGCGAGGGCAGACGGTCTGACAGCTCTATCAGTTCCCTTTTCTTAGTCCTACAATCAGGTTGCCGGCTGCGCGGCAAGACGCGGTGCTCCGAGCAGCTCCTCACCATGGCAGGACCTCAACAAATGCCTGTGATAAAGCTGACCGGGGGAGCCCGCCCACTGGCCTTGTGACAGACAGGATGAAATAGGATAATGGGATCCTTCCTGTGTACCCCAGTACTGCCATCTCCAGAAGTGCCCAGACCCCGGACTAGTCTACTCTCTGATCATGGGGAACTTCAAGAAACTAGCATAGTGTTCAGCCACTTACACCAAGTCAGACTCACTAACAATCCGTTTACAGTAAGCTAGAAAAATATCATTCCAACAATATGCTCTTCAATCACCATCCCAGAGTTTGGCACACATCCCCATAGATTTGCCGTATCTGACACTGCACTCTGTCTTGTCCCCTTTTCCTGTCTGGCAGCTTGTCCAACTGTCCATGACCAGCCCTTCCTCATTGCCTTGCCAGGGCCCTGCTTCCTGGGGTCTGTCCTCCCCGATGAAGAGAGCACACAGACTCTCTAGGGTCTTCCGGGCCAGCCCCTCACAGCTCACCACTGGCCAGACTTCTGTGACCCTGGCTGCTGGCTCGGACCACCCCCACTGTCTGTCACTGTGCTGCCCCGATTCCACGCTGCTGGCCAGCCTGGGCACCCTCTGCTATATTTTGGTGTGACACTGAGAAGTGCCTAGCATGAAGCCTGGCCCAGAACTGACACGTGGTGAATGTTAGCTGTTGTCATTAACCATTGCTTCGTTCCCCTACTTGGTACATGACGATTCAGCAGCCGAGGCCTCCCGTTCTGGAGGTCTAAGTTTCCAGTTTCTTACATAAAAAGATAAAGTGCCTAACTGCCGTAAGGCACTGCTCAAGTTATATCTTTAAATGTTTCCATTGAAGTATAAAACATATACAGTCAGATGTGTAGCATGTATCAATCTTAAGTTTACAGCCCAAAGATTTTTTACATATACATGTACACCCATGGAACCACCCAGATGAAAATATAGAGCATTTCCCACACCCCTTTATGCCCCCCCAGCAGCACCACCTCTGCCATTCTGACAGTGATCACCATGTTACCATCAGCTAGCCTTGCCCCTCCTTGGATGTCATATAAATGGAATTATATAGTATTAACCCTTTTATGTCAGGTTTCTTTCACTAAGCATGTCTGTATATTTACAATCATTCACATATGTTGTTGCATGTAGTGGTAATTTATTCCTTTTCATTGTTGAGTAGTATTCCATTATGTGAAATATATTACAATTTGTTTATTTAGTCCCATGGTTTTTTGTTTTTTTTTTGAAGTAATTAACGTAACATCAAGATTTTATTGTCTTCATAATAAACAAAAGACGCTTAGAACTGGATCACTTGGCCCTTTCTCTTCTTATCTCCTCCCAGTTCAAAATGCTTGCATCTCTTAATAGCCAGCATTCTCTTAGATCTGCAGTTGCACAATTTTCTTTGTAGTTTTAGCCTTTTTCCGGAAAATCGGCTTAGTCTGCCCACCATAGCCACTCTGCTTTCTATCATAACGCCGCTTTCCCTGGGCATACAGAGAATCCTTGCCCTTCTTGTACTGTGTCACTTTGTGGGGTTGGTGCTTGCCACATTTCTTACAGAAAGTCCGGCGGGTTTTAGGAACGTTCACCATGTTTGCGTGCGCGCTATTGGCCTATTTAGTCCCATGTTGATGAACATTTGGTTCACAGCTCCTGGTTTTTGGTTATTATTATATGAATAAAGCTGCTATGAACATTCCTGTACAAGTCTTATTGTGAGCATATATTCTCATTTCTCTTGGCCAAATATCTAGGGAGGGAATTGCTGGGTCATACCTTTAACCTTATCAGAAACTGCCCAACTGTTTTCTAGAGTGGTCATTGCCATTTCGGACTGCCAACAGCAATTGGAAGAGTTTCAGTTGTTCTGTGTCATTGCCAGAACTGAATGCTGTCAATCATTTTAGGTTACCCAGTTTAGTGGGTGTGGTATTTCACAGTGGTATTTCACTGTGGTTTTAATTTCTATTTCCCTGATGACTAATAATATTAAGCAAAGTTTCATGTGCTCATTAGCCATTTTTTAAATCTTCTTTTATGAAATGTATTTTCAAGTCTTTTGAACAATTTTTCATGGATTGTGTCTTTTCACATTATATTGTAGGAGTTTCTTTATACATTCTGGATGGATATGTTTTGTCAGATATGTGTATTTCAAATAATTTCCCCAACGTTATAGTTTGCCTTTGTATGTCCTAAAGGGTGTCTTTTAGCAAACAAAAAGTTTCACTTTTGGAAAAATTCCAATTTATCAATATTTAATTTAATGATTAGTACTTTTTGTGTCTCTCTAAGAAATCTTCCCAAAGATATTCACCTATGTTTTCTTCTGAGAATTTTAAAGTTTTCCCTTTTACATGAGCGTACAATCAGTTTCAAATTAACTGCTATGTATTATGTGGGAAACAGGTCACAGCTCTTTTTTTTTTTTTTATTCAGTTATCTGGCTGTTTCCTGCACTATTGAAAAATGATCCTTTCATCATTGAATTTCCTTCGTACCTTTGTCAAAAATCAAGTGAACATATGTGTGGGTTGATGTCTGGACTCTTTAGTGTTCCATTGATCTATCTGTGCATTCTTATGCCAACACCACATGTCTGTACCATTGAAGCATTAGCACAAGCTCTGAAATCAGGTAGCACAAGCCCTCCACATTTCTTCAACATTTTTCAAAGTGGTTTGGACTATTTTAGGCCATCCTCATTTCCATACCAATTGTCAAATCAGCTTGTGAGTTTCTACAAACACTCCTGCTGAGATTTTGACAGAGACGGTGCTGAATCTGCAGACCAATTTGAACACACAGCCATATTGCATCTTCCCATACACACAACATACTCTCCAGTTATTTAGACCTTTTGCTATACCCCACAAAATTTGGTATGGTGTTTTCACCATCATTCAGCTTAAAATATTTTCCATTTTCCCTTGTGATTCCCTCTTTAATTTGCAGGTTATTTAGAAATGTGCTTCTTAATATCCAAATATTTGGGAGATTTTTACAGATATGTTTTTGTTATTTACTTATAATTTAATTCCCTTGTCAACAGAGAATATATTCTGCATTGTTTTAATCTTTAAATCTTTCAAAAATCTCTCTGGTTTAATTCAAATGATTTCACAGACACGTTTTTCAGTTGTGCCCAGTGTGTTGTTAATCCCCTCTAATTAATTTTTTTTTATTAATAGCATTGTATTTCTCAGTTCTAGAATTCCTATTTGATTTTTTTTTACAGTTTCCAAAAATCTTCTGAAATTTCCTATCTCCTTATCCATTATATCCATTATATTCATATGTTCCTGCCTGTTCTTTAATAAGTTCATCATATTTTTTAAAAAGCCCTTGTCCAGGCCGGGCGCTGTGGCTCACGCCTGTAATCCTAGCTCTTGGGAGGCCGAGGCGGGCGGATTGCTCGAGGTCAGGAGTTCAAAACCAGCCTGAGCAAGAGCGAGACCCCGTCTCTACTATAAATAGAAAGAAATTAATTGGCCAACTGATATATATATAAAAAAATTAGCCGGGCATGGTGGCGCATGCCTGTAGTCCCAGCTACTCGGGAGGCTGAGGCAGAAGGATCACTCAAGCCCAGGAGATTGAGGTTGCTGTGAGCTAGGCTGACGCCACGGCACTCACTCTAGCCTGGACAACAAAGTGAGACTCTGTCTCAAAAAAAAAAAAAAAAAAAAAAAAAAAAAAAAGCCCTTGTCCACTAACTTCAATATTTGGGTCATTTGCAGGTTCTTTTCTATTGAGTGATTTTTCTCTTGACTAAGAATCACATATTCCTATTTTTCACATATCTGGTAATATTGTATTAAACACTATGATACTAATTCTGTATCCTCTTCTCATCCTCTAAAGAGTGTTGAGTTTTATTCTAGCACACAGTTAAAACAGTAGAAGATAAACTTGAATTTGTGGAGGCTTGGTTTTATGCTTGTCAGGAAGAATCTATTTTGGTTTGCCTATAGTCTCTTTTAATTTTATCTTTAGTCCTTAGGTTATCCCTTTTATTGGGCCCTTGGGCCCTTGAAGAAGTCATTAACTTTTTTGATCCTCAGGTTGCCTTTCTGTAAGTAGTGGGTTGGACTATATGACCCCAGGGTTCCCTTCCAGCTCTCGCATGTATTTTTATCAGGAGTCGAACTTCCTCTTCCTTTCCCTTTCCTTCACTTCCCCTTCCTTCTTTCCTTTCCATTTCCTTCCATAATAGGTTTCCCTAGAAAGAGAATTTAAGAGTGCTATCTGTGAGAGAAAGATGGAAAAAGTTAGAAGTGAAGGAAAAAAGAGGAAAAAGAGAAAATGTAACTCCTAATATTAACTGTTGTCTGGGAAAGGGAGCAAGGGAGAGGAAGACAACATGAAACAGGAACACTTCTTACGACCAGCCACACACAACAATGGGGGAAGTGTCACACTAAAGCTAGGGAGCAGTGTACATGTGGGACATGGGCACAATCCGCGGGGGGGGGGGGGTCTTCCCACCTGTCTCCACACCTGGGTCTCTCCAGAGCACCATCTCTCCCTTCCTGACCCACCATACCGTGACATCACCTTTTCCCTCTTTCTGTAGTTTCAGGATTTTAAGCCTTATCTCTCACGGAGCAATGGGAATGATCCCTATTACAGGACTTGCAAGCACCACTCAGCAGAGAGCCAGGCTCACTTTTGCACATGCAAGCCTTTACACAGGCAGCCACCCATGCTCTGAAGATGCAGACAGGGCTCCTCCCCCAGGTGGTCTTCCCAACCCCACCACAGGAGGAAGAAAATGCATTGAGCTCGATGGAAACTACAAATTCAGGAAATTTGGTTTCTAATCCTATTTCCCGTCTTTGATGATCTGTCTCTGGAAGAAAGCTCTTGGTGTTTCTGTGCCATGAGATTTTTAGCAAAATATCTGCCATTTAGGCCACTGTATTGGTTTTTAAAAATCTAACAAACACTGACCAGCTGCTATCACCCTCTGCTCCCCGTCCCTACCTGCAAACCAGCGCTGGATTTTCTCTGGGTTCAAACAATGGCATTTCCCAGCTTCTCTCCTGATCTGCAGCCATCACCTGACCAAAGCTCTTGGAGGCCCCTGATTGATGCACATCCTGTTGGCCTTTTCCCAGGCACTTGCCATCTGTGTGCCATCCAATCACCAACACAGACAGCTTGCATTTTCCACAGATGAGAACTTAGGTGAGATTCCAATCCCTCAGTAGGTAACCTGAGCAAAGACACTGCCAGTCTAAAATTATAACAACCAGAAGAGCAGCAGCATCTGCTAGAAAACCAGCCTTTATAGAAGTACTGTGCTTTTTATCACGACTTGAAGATCTAAATTAACAGCTTTAAAGTCACACACACAAACAGAGTAGTCAGGTTGCACACTGACCACAACAATAAAAACTGTGGGCGACTGTAATTTTTCTATACAGGAAGCTCTAGAAAGTTACATTTCTAATAATCTGACTTCCAGCCTCTACCAATTCTGCATCCAAGTCTCCAATTCTGAATGAGGAAAAAATAATTTAGGATAGTTGTTTCCAAATGAGTTTACTGCCCCTGGACTTTGAGGATAATTCATGATGTTCCTTTGCAAACCACTTCCCTTCTCGTTTAGATTCAGACTTGCAGTGTGCTGGAGGGAAACCTGCGTCAGATTTTCAAAATCCATCTTTTCCAGGTGATTCTTCTATGTTCTGAAGTGGAGGGCATTGGCGTGAAGGAGAATATTACAGGTGATGAGAGACACAACAGGAATTAACTGCTGGAAAACTGGAATTGTTTTATGCTCATCCTTTTACCTGCCCAATTTTTGTTACGCACATTGGCAATAAACAGTTGTCTGTTAAACATATCGATCACTGAAAGTCTATCTTTTTCTCCATAGATTTACTCCACAGAATGACAGAAATTCCTAACAGAATATTCTCAGGTGACAAGCCATTGCTTATTGGTTTATCTTTTCTTCCCACTAATGGGGAAATGATGCAGAAACTGTGATGAGCAGCCGTTTGCAACAAGATTTTGGAAAACTGGAGAGTGGAAAATCCAAGGGCTAGGCACCTCCATGACCACCAATGCACCAAGAGAAGGGCATTTGCTGGTTCCATTTTGAGTAAAATTCCAGCTATTCCAAGGAGGGGAATGCATTATCAGCTGACAGCAAAGGGTTATTCTTTCATGAAGACTCGGGGGTCTTCTTCTCAATTCTCTAACTCTGACTCTGAACTACTTAGCCCTTAGCACTAGCTGCAGGGTAAGCGACAGATGGGGTTCCAGTGTGCTGAAAGGGTTGGCCAAGCATCTCTGATGTGAAATGTGCTTTTGAAGAAAATTAAAAGAACATTACTAAAAAGCTGAGAAGAAAAGCAGATTTCTGAAGCCCACTTGTGTTTTTTCCTCTTTTAAAGATTCCAAGCCAAATCACAGGGTTATTTTTAGGAGATACTGGAATTCTAGATGAAATCATCCTCCCTTGGACACTGTCCAAAGACTATTGTCCAGACTCTGTTTGAGTCAGATGTTCAAGTTGCTGAACAGAATCATCTTATTTTAAGATACAGCAAACTAATGCAGGTAGACAGAAGCCAGCATGCTGCTAGCTGAACAAAAAGCTGGGCCAAAAATACAAGCTAAAATATAGAAGTCCATATTCTTTCCTCTAGCTAGTAGACTTTGTTTTAATTAAGCACGTATTTTATTTTGCCCTGGGCTAAAACTGGATGTGGATTTATCCCAAGGCAGGAGCATATCTAAATAATCTTTATGGTCTTCTCATGCCTAGCCCTAGAAAACTATCTGTGTTCAATGAATATGTAATTGAATTGACCATAAAAATGGTTAAATTAATGGTAGCAACTAAAAAATTAAACTTATAATTTTTTAAAAAATGCTTTTTTACATATTCTATCTTATCCCATCCTTGCAACAAGTTTGAAGTATACCCACTCTTATCCCAAATTACAGATGTGGAAGCTGAAGCTCAGAAGTGATAAGACCTAATTATCTGATTCTAAAAACCCTTGTGTTTTTTTTCACCACACCACATGCCTAACATCTGGAAAATGCACTCGTATGTGTAAAGGTTTTCTTCTCTCAAAATTAGAAAATACATATATATACAAAATGAACAATTTGTTCTTCCACAGAAAACAACTATAAGCAAAAAATACTTCTGATACTTTATTATTATTATTACTATTATTTTTTTTCTTGAAACAGGGTCTCTGTCACTCTGTCAACCAGGCTAGAGTACAGTGGTGCAATCATAGCTCACTGCAGCCTCAAACTCCTGGGTTTAAGAGATTCTCCCACCTGGGCCTCCCAAGTAGCTGGGACTACAGGCATGTGACACTGAATGGGGATTTTTTATTTTTTTACTTTTTGTAAAGATGAAGTCTTGCTGTGTTGCCCAGCTGGTCTTGAACTCCTGGCCTCAAGTGATTCTCCCACCTCAGTCTCCCAAAGTGCTGGGATTACAGGCATGAGCTACTGTATCCAGCAACTTTTGAATATTTAAAAAAGTACCAGAGAGCATCTAATATCATGCCAAAAATAAAATTAAATGTAAATATTTTACAGGGGACCTATTTTTCTAACATATGTTGAGCACCCCAATTCCAAAAATCCAAGCTCTGAAATGCTCCCAAATC